GTGCCAACTTGGGCCAGTGAAGCAACGTCCTCCACAACTACACTGAAGAACAAAAGGACAACAACTTGTCTGTTCCCCTTCCCCCAATTCCCCAGCACTGTTCCCATCCCCCAATTCTCCAATAAAAATCTTAAAAAAAAAAATTTTTATTGGGGAATTGGGGGAGGGGAACAGTGTTGGGGAATTGGGGAAGAGGACCAGCCAAGTTGTTCTTCAGTCTTCGTTGTGAAGGGCACCAGTCGCCATTTGGCTTCCCGTTGGCAGCTGATGGCCTCTAAGCTCAAGATGCTGTGTTCAATCTTGAGGGTGGGCGTAGCCATCATCCCATGTGGGAGTCGAACCTAGCAGCCTTGTTGTTAAGAGCCCACACTCTATCCACCAAGCCATCCAGGCGGCATCTCAGCTCAAGGGGCCCGGTTCAGTCTTAGTTGCTGGTGGGCGTACCATCAAACAGGCAGTCTTGTTGTTACACCAGCTGAGCCATCCTGATACCTGTTGGCAGCTCAGTGACAGCTCAGCTTGGGCGCAGCATCCCTGGCCCATGTGGGAATCAAACCAGCGGCCCTGGTGCTCAGAGCTCATGCTCTTAAGCCAACTCTTAACCAAGTGAGCCACTTGGCCAGCCCAGGAATCAGTATTTTTATTAACAGCATCCCTCACCTCTTAAGACAAGGCCAAGGCCAAGGCCAAGGCCAAGAAAAGGGTCCGAGCAACCGGAACCGCCCCCCTCCCCTGCGCCTTCCCCGCCTGTACACTCACTCCGCACATCCCTGTCGCGCACCTACTGTGCGCCGCCCGCGCCCCGCCCACTCCAGGCCCCGCCTGCCCCAGGCCCCGCCCCAGCGCTCCGCCTTACGGGGAGGGGCGTAGCCAATGAGCGCACGACCCCGCATCCGGGGATTCCTGGCGCGGCCGCCGCCTCCCGCGCGCACACGGCCATGGCGGAGGTGAGTGAGCGGGCCGGGGGAGCCGGCACCCCGCCCCCGCGCGCCCGCGTCCCCCGCTGCGGCACCTCAGCTGCGTCAGGGCTCTGGGCGCGGAGACCCCCGCTCCGGGGCTCCGAGGCTGGGCCCGGAGCGCCTCGCCCGTCGGGGCCCAAGGGGCGCGGGACTCCGTCGGCAGCCGCCCCCAGCCCCCCACCCCCCGGCTGCCACATCGCGGGCTGCAGTGCGCATGTGCGGGCGCGGCGGCGCGGGCGGGGGGCGCGGAGTGGGCAACCGAGGGGCCGGTCCCGGATGGGGGCACGCCGACAGGTCCCCGTCGGGCCCCATCGGGCCCCGCCAGTCCCCCGCCCGCCCGCTTGCCTGGCCCCGGCCTTGGCCAACTTTGCGGGGCGCGCTTCTGGTCGCTCGGTCACAGCGCCGCGTTCGCCCCGCCGGGACCCCGCGTGGGACCCCAGCGCTGCATCACTCTCTCGAGCCCCCACGGTGCCGGGCTCCGCAGAATCGCCCTCACTCCAGATCGCGGGCGGGATTGGACCCCGGCACGGCGCTGTGTTGGGGCTTGCTCGGTGCAGGCGGAGTCAGATCAGCCTGTACCGGCGGCTCAAAGCCACTTTTCTGAGCCGCTTCTCTGTCCTGAAGTACGCCCGGGACCCCTCTCCCGACATCCTTGGGGCCGGATACGTTTTGGAATTCAGAGTTTTTCCTGTTTGAGGAGCTGTGGGGTTTGGAACTGTGATGCTTGATCAAACTCACTTGGGGCCTTCTGGGATAAAGAACGACACCTCAGAGTTTCTTGTTGGGTCAAACCAGGGATGAAACTTGCACATTGACTTTGGAATGTTAGGTAGACAATGCGGACCTGCTCTTATCTTCTAGGGTCTAGTGAGGATGGGAATGCGATAATGCACCTACTAGGGGCCCCGCCAATGTGACTCTTACTGCATGACGGTCAGTCTGGGGACGCACAAGTTAAGGCCGCTGCCAAACAGGTCCACAGACTGCCAGTGATCCTCATCACATGGGTGGGGCCACCAAGGCCACCCAGTGAGGCACAGCTAGTTCACGGGATATTGTGCTTGTCATGGTGCCATGTTGAGTGTTTATGTCTTAGAACAGTGGTAGGTGTAGAGGACAGGATAGCTATTTTCTCCCACCAGTGACATTCTCAGGGGCTGCAGCAGGCCCTGCATTTATGCCAGAGAGGGTGTGGGCATCTGGGTGCAAGGCCAGACCTCACCAGCCATCTCCTGCCTTGTGCTGGGTGCCTGGATCCAAAGGGTCCTTTTTTAGGGGCATTTAGGGAAACAGGTCTCGTGGGGGCAGTGGCTGGCCTTGCAGGTCAGAGGCAAAAGCAAGCTCTCCTGATGGCTCAGCAGGGGCATGGTGGTGGAGTGTGTATGTGTACTCTTGTTCAGGGGCATGGGTGTTGTTCTTCCTGGGCACCAGGTGTCATTGACAGCACTCTTGGCCTGGCAGGTATCTGTGTGTCACGTATAGAAGGGTCAGACTCCACCCAGCCTCCACAGAGAGCTGTTGGGTTTGGCTGTTGACTCTGCCTTGCCCAAGGCTGAGCCCCTGGAACCCTCCTACAGCCAGGTTCCCAGGGTGCTCTATTACTTGTTGACAATATAGGGTGGTACCCTCTTGAATGAATTTGAGTGGTGTCCTTGGAGAAAGCCAATGTGTGAGGTCCCCTATGTGCCTGGCTCTTTGGGAGGTCTTGAGGATCTCGCCATACGCAAAAACCCAACAGTGCCTGTCTTAAAGGGCCATAGAGTTTGGTGGGTAAAGGACCAACAAGCGTGCAAATGTCAGATATGTTGAGCCACGGCTGGCCTCTGTCCAGGAGACCCCTTGTGGCTATGGAGCCTCTTATTCTGTGTTACTTTGGGCAGGTTGTTGAGACTCAGAGCTGCGGTTTCATCTCTGAGCAGGGACAAGTCAAGAGGTTGCACAGGATCTGGGCTCCGGGGCTTGCTGAACAGAGAAGCTGAACCTTATAAAGTCAGATACCCAGCTGTCAGACCGATGAAAATGGCGATTTGTTACCTAGCAGTGAACACTTGGTCAGGGTCAGCTGCCTGCTGTTATCGTTACCAAAATGGCCAAGGGCAGCATGAGAGGAGACTGGTGCTTTGCACTGCTTTCCTCACAGAGGCCTAAGTACCCAGATTTTTGTGCTGAAAATCTCAAAGCTTTCCTTGTCCTTCAGATACAGTGCATCTCTTCACTGTGACCTCGCCTAGTGGTGTGGTCCATGTCACCCACGCCAGTCCCCCAGTCTTCTTCGTTGGAGGAACTTGGCTGTCACCATGCTGCCCCACTGCCCACAGGCCCCATCTGGAGATGTCCGGAGGCGTTCATGACCCCAGTCGTGCAGACCTCCGACCCTGTTTTCTCCCCCAAGTTACTGTACACGTCCATTTGTTCTCTGTGTTCCCAACTACACTGGTAACTTGTGGGTGGAGGCAGTGGAACTGGTTTCTGGATTGACTGCCTGGCCTTGCCCAGAGGAAGCTTAGTGGGTGCTGGTCAGGTGGCGCGGGGAAGCTGGGGCAGCCAAGGGATGAGCCAGTGTGGGTGGGGGATTTCAAACCCACAGCTCTTTCATTGTCATCTTCGTGGTTCTGAGGGTGTATTGAGCTTGGCCTGGCCGTTTGTACCTGGGGTTGGTCATGCAGTTGCAATTAGTTGGTGGCTGGGGCTGGAGGAAAGCTTCCTTGCTTACGTGTGGCTGCTGGTGCTGCCTGCTGGCTGGGACACCTCCACAAGGCCTCTGTGTAGCTTGGGCTTCCTCACAGCATGGTTGCTGGGTTCTAGCAGTGACTGTCCCAAAAGACACCAGATGGAACCTAGTCTAGGAAGTCACGCAGAATCCTTCCCACTGTCACAGGCCAGCTGGATATACAGGGAGGGGACGCAGAGCCTCAGCTCTGAAGGGAGGCATGTCAACATCACACGGAGAAGAGCGTGTGGGGTGGGACGCGTGAGCTCACCATCTTAGAAAATGGGGTCTGCAGCAGTTTCCTTGGGGGTGAAGCCTGGTGGGTGGTGAGTGGCAGGTGGACGTCACCCTGGGAGGAGGTTCTGTGCCTGAGGCGTCTGGGCCCCAAGACAGGACAGGCAGTCTTCCCGCTGATGTGTTCATACCTCCTCCAGCAGGACCTGGGGACAGCGGGCTCTGTGGCCCCTCCTGTTTGAAAGGCTCCCTTCCTTCCTTCCTTCCTTCCTTCCTTCCTTCCTTCCTTCCTTCCTTTCTCCCTCCTTCCCTCTTTCCCTCCCTCCCTCCCTTCCTTCCTTCCTTCCTTCCTTCCTTAGTCCCTGGAAGGCTGGCTTCCTTCCTTCCTTCCTTCCTTCCTTCCTTTCTTCCTTTCCTCCTCCTCCTCCTGCTCCTCCTCCTCCCCACTCCTCCTTCTCCCTATTTTTACCCACCTTTTCCCACCTTTTATCCTGGCACATGGAGCTGCAGCTGCTGAAAACATCCAGTGTTCTGAACTGGGGCATGTGCGGCCCACTGGGTCCCAGGGTTGAGGGTGGGCCGCACCTGGAGGTCCGTGAAGTCTGTTCCTCAGTAAGTTCTAAGGGGCTTGGAGTCCCCTGGAAATGAACTTGGGGGTCTGAGGCCCCTGGGAGAGGCTGCCTCCCAGCTGTGTCTCTCTCTGTTCCTTTGTCAGAGGGCAGGTCAGATGGGCCAAGTCCTCAGACCCTCCTGGGGCAGAGTGACCCTCCCTTGTTCTCACTGCCTTTTCTGGTTCCCACACAGTCAGGGCTCTTGGTTGCAGGACACAGGAAGAAGCCAGCCCCAGCCGAGGTCAAAGGGATCCCAGAGAGCCTGGTGTACCAATAGTCAGGAGGGTCCCAGGAGTGTTAAGGTGGTTTCAGAGGACTTTTAGGGTGCTGACATCACAGGTGTGCCCTGTGTGTGGCCCTGCAGGGTGGCCTGTGGGCTGATGGCAACCTGCTGTTTCCTGGGAGGTGAGGCCACAGGCTCAACCCGGAGTACTGGTTAGATGCCCCACACCTGCGGGTCTGTGAAGGGATTCTGAGTCATGGCCTGAGTGTGCATTTCTAGTGGTACTACTTTCTCGCTTTGTGAGCTTAGGTAAGTGACTTGTCCTCTCTGAACTTCCATTCTGTCCTTCTCTTATGAAGAGATTGATTACACAACCCCTTGGTTTTCTTGAGGACCCAGTAAGGAAATCAGCTTTCAAATTCTTACTAAACCTTTTCTCTAAATTTTGAAACTTTATTTTGCTAAAGATTCTAATCTCTCTCTCTCTCTCTCTCTCTCTCTCTCTCTCTCTCTCTCTCTCTCTCTCTCTCTCTCTTTGGCTGTTTTACTTATGTATAATTCATGTACCCTATGATTTACTTGTTTTAATGTGCACAGTCCAGTGGTTTTTAGTATACGAAGTCTGACAGTTAAGTTCGCGAACTCATCCTAGAAAAAGTGCTACATACCTCATTGCTGAATATCACTACAGCCACCTTTGAAGTACTCCCCTTGAGAAGTTATGCACCGACACCAGCGCCTAGTCCACCCTTCAAAGCAATTTTGGAACTCTTTTTCTGGAATGGCCATAAGAGCTGTTGTCATATTACCCTTGATGTCCTGAATGTCATCAAAATGTTTTCCTTTCAATATTTCCTTTATCTTCAGATAAAGAAAGAAGTCACTGGGGGCCAGATCAGGTGAGTAGGGAGGGTGTTCCAATACAGTTATTTGTTTACGGGCCAAAAACTCCCTTTGCTTTTGTCTATTGGTGAGCTCCTTCGGGGCCATTTTTGCACACACCTTTCTCATGCCTAGATTTTCAGTTAAGATTTTCCTAACTGTTTCTCTATCAATGTTTACTTGGTCTGCTATGCTTCTCACAGTCAGCCGACGATTTTGATGCACAAGTTGATGAATTTTTGCAATGTTTTTGTCAGTTCCGCTCATTACTGGCCACCCTGACTTCTCTCTGTCAGTGATGCAGTCTTTCCCCTCAGAAAAACGTTTAATCCATTTGTACACTGCCCTTTTCTTCATGGCATTATCCCCATAAACTTGGACTAACATGTCCCTGATTTCACTTCAACTCTTGCCAATTTTAACAAGAACTTTAATGTTTGTTCGTTGCTTTAATTCAAGCTCAGACATTCTCGCGACGGCACACAAAAACATGTAACAACAATAATGAATGCCACTCAGCAAGACACCGCCACACGTTGACACGAACACAGTTGTGAGATGCTGATATACCAAGGTTATGAAACCTTACCAAGCTGTTTGTACAGTGCTGCCAATGTAAGCACATGGTGGCAAGTTCGCAAACTTAATTGTCAGACCTCGTATTCAGAATTGTGCAACCATCACCAGTTGATTTTATATTTTCATTACCCCAAAAGAAACCTTGCACTCTTGGTTGTCACCCCTATCCCTTCTCAGTCTCTGACAATCACTAACCCACGTCCTGCTGTGGATGTGCTTGTTCTGGACATTTTACATAAATGGAATCACACACTGTGTGGCCTTGTGTGTCTGGCTTCTCTCACTGAGCACCGTCTGTTCAAGGTCCATCCACGTTGTGGCGAGTGTCAGCACCTCCCTCCTTTTCACAGTCGAGTGACATTCCATTGTCTTGTTTGGCTTGTCTGTTCACCAGCTCCTGGATGTTAGGGTTCTTTACACCTTTGGCTATTGTGAATAATCGTGCTGTGAACGTGTGTGTGCACGCGCAAGTTCTCAGTGTAAACATTCGTTTTCTTTTCTCTGGGTATTGCGAGGAGGAGAGGCCTACCTTTTCCCCTCTGCCCTCCTAGGTTCTTACTTGTGTGGGGCCCAGTGATCTAGACTGACAAAAGGCAGTCTGTTAGCATGTGCGATGGGCAGTACATAGCACGGGAGGACTTGGTGGTGCATGACTCAGGGGTGAGGGTTTGGGCTCTGGAAGTATCTGAACAAGAGAACAGTAAATCTTAGAGGATTGACAACAGAGGAAAAGGACTGTGTTCTAAGGGCAGCAAGTTATGGGAAGGTAAATACGTGGGGGAACTGGCGGGAGACCAGGCATTGGTGAGGTCTGTGTACAGACTCTTGGTGCCAGCTTGTCTCCAGTGATAGATAAGGGGGCTCCCTTCCTGGTTTCGGGGGCAACCCCACAAGGGTCTGCTCTGCTTTTAGGCACGTGGGGGAGCAGAGAGCTCATCCTGTGTCTGCTTTTCTCAGTTGCCTTCAGCTCAAAATACTCCTTACGCCAGCGCAGTATATTTTGGGATGGCACACTCTGACCCCCTCCAATATATACCTAGCAGTGACTGTGCTGGGTTACATGGCAGCACTGCTAACTTTGGGAGGATCTGCTGACCTTTCCAAAGTCGCTGCTAGGTTTGACGTTTCTGCCTGGAGCCACTGCATTCTTCCTGACAGTCTTTGGTCCGAGCCAGCTGGCCTGTGGCTGTGACTTTGATCTGCTTTCGCCTGAAGTTGAGCATTTTCTCACTTGTTTATTGGCCACTTGTGCATCTCTGGACAAATGTCTACTCAGACCCTTTTCCATTTTTCCACTGGATTATCTTGTTAATGCATTGTTAACAGTTCTTTGTGTTTTCTAGATGCAAGGTCTTTTCCAGCAATATGATTTGCAAATGTGTTTTCCCGTTCTTGGAGTTATCTTTTCACTTTTTTGATAATGTGATAAAACCTTTGAAGCACAAAAGGTTTTTTATTTTGGCGATGTCCAGTTTGTCTGTTTTCTTTTTTGTTGCTTGTGCTTTTGGTGTCTTATCTCAGAGACCATTGCCTAGTCCAAGGCTACAGAAATTTATCCTTGTGTTTTCTCCTAAGAGTTTTATAGTTTTAGATCTTATATTTAAGGTCTCTGATCTATTTTGAGATCATTTTTGTATAGGGTGTGAGGGAGGTGGTTCACTTTATCCTTTTGCATGTGGACATCCAGTTGTCCCAGCATCATTGCTGAAAACACTTTTTTCCCCACTGAGTTGTTTTGTCACCTTTGTCAAAATTCCGTTGGTTGTAAATGTGTGGGTGTTTCTGGATTTTCAGTTCCATTCCTTTGATTAAAATGTACAGCCTCATGTCAGCACCACACTATTTTGATTACTGTAGCTTTGTAGTAATTTTGAAATCAAGACGTGTTCTTCTCCTTCAAGATTGCGTTGGCTATTCTGGGTGCCTTGAGTTTTCCTGTGACTTGTGAAATGTCAGCGTCTGCGTAGAAGTTTCTGCTGGGGCACTGCATTTAGTCTGTAGACCAGCTGGGGATACTAACACCTTAACAATTATAGCTTCTGAGCCACAGATAGAGGATGTCTTTCCACCAAGTCAGATCTTTAATTTCTTTCAACATGTTTTGCATTTTTTAGAGTGTACATTTTGAACTTCTTCTGTTAAATTTATTATTAAGTATTTCATTCTTTTGATGCTATTGTAAATAGAGTTGTTTTCTTAATTTTATTTTTGGCTTGTTAATTGCTAGTATGTAGGAATAAAATTGATTTGTGTATGTTGCTTTTGTAATATGTTATTTTGTTGAGTGCATTTATTAGTTCCATTTTTTTTTAGTGGATTCTTTAGGATCTTCTGTGTCCAAGATTATGTCATCTGCAAAAAGAAACAGCTTCACTTCTTCCTTTCCAGTTTGGATCCCTTTATTTCATTTTCTTGCCCTGACTAGAACCTCCAGTGCTCTGTTGAACAGCCGTGGTGAGAGTGAGTGTCCTTCCGTGTCACCATTAAGGGGTGTTGTTAGATGCCTTTATGAGTAAGTTATATTCCTAATTTGTTGGCCTTTTTAAAAAATTGGAAGTATCGTTTATATACCACAAAATATACCCATTTAAAGTATTTAATTCAGTTTATAGTTCACAAAGTTTTGAAACCGTCACCTCTTTTTAGATCTAGGACTTTCATGTCACCCCAAAAGGAAACCCTGTCCCCATTAGCAGGCACTCTTACCCTTCCTTCCCAGTCACTTCCCCAGTCCCTAACTCCCCTCCTGTTTGTGGATGTGCGTGTTCTGGACACTTCACATAAATGAAATCACACACTGTGTGGCCTTGTGTGTCTGACTTCTCTCACTGAGCACCGTGTGTTCAAGGTCCATCCACGTTGTGGCAAGGGTCAGTGTCTCACTCCTTTTCACAGTCGAGTAACACTCCCTTGTGTGGGTGGACCACGCTGGTTGTGTGTGTTCTTCCGTGGATGGACACTTGGGCTGTTTCCACCCTTGGGCCATTGTGAATCGTGCCGTGAACATGTGTGTTTGGTATGGATGTGGGATGTGTTTTCAATTCTGTTGGATGTGTGCCTAGGAATAGAATTAAGTGCTGGGTCATTTGGTAATTCTGTACTTTTGGAGGAATTGCCAGATTTCCCCAAAGTGGCTATTTGCCTTTTGAAGACTAAGTTCCTGGAGGCTGGGACCCTTGTGAAATGAGCCATTGTTAGTGACTGCCTGCTGGGTGTGGGCAGGAGGGCTGTGTGTGGGCCTAGTTCACCTGGTCCCTGTGTCCTTGGCGAGTGATAAGCGTTTCTGGTTCCTGGTGGGGCCAGGCCCATTGCTGTCCTGGTGGGTGCTGTTCCCACTTGGAGATGAGGACACTGAGGTTTTAGAACTGCTTTGTAAGCCCACATCTGCACCTCTGTGTGCTCGGTGCTCCCTCCTTAGCCCTCAGAGGCAGCTCACATTACACCCCCCGCCAAGGCCAGGCCACCCTGAGCTGTTGGAGGGCTGTGGCTGGCTGAGCTGACCCTGCCTTCTTCCTTTGCAGGCCTCCTCGCTGGAGAGGCAGAGCCCCCTTGTGGCCGCCTGCCTCACTCACAGCCTGTGCCCCGGGGAGCCCGGCTCACCAACGACAGCAGGTGCTCCCTTTGTCCCCACCTTCCTCCTGCCCAGGTCGCCATTTGCAGCCGTGAGAGACAGACGGCACGCTGGCCCCAGAGTCCAAGGACGGGACGGACACACAGGCCAGGAGTACTTCCTGTTCTATAGCAGTGCCAGGCAACCCAAGACAGGGCCAGAGTGCCTCCGTCCTGGGAGTTCTGCCCAACTGAGAGAAAAGCAGGTGCTGGGTGGGCACCTGCCTCAAGCTGGCCACTTGTCTCCCGCCCAGCCCCTGCTGTGTGCTTTGGACCTACGTGGAGTGCCAGCCTTGGCCTTCATAGCTCCCTGGCTTGGGTTGAAACCTGGTTGTTTGTACCAGTCGTGGAGACAGCACATCCTGCCTGGCTATGTGGGGAATAGCCCAAATCCAGTCACACACATCACCCATTGGGCTGTGCCCATGACACTGCTGTGGTCCTGCTGAGGGAGACAAAGGGATGGGCATTAGTTGGGCCCATTGTGTGCCGCCCATTGGCTCTCTGTGCACTGTGCCCATCCCCACTATGACTCATGGAGTTGGGTGTTCAGCGTCAGTCCTGCATTTCCAGAGCTGAGGGCCTTGCCCCAGCCCTGTGGGGACCGTGGGACGAGGTGTGGTCCTTTTGTGCTCTTCCCACGCTGACTCAGCCAGCACTCATCTTGTACGTGTCCCCCATGAAAGCATGTCCCTGAAGCCCCAGAACACTATGCAGTTAGCAGAGGTGCTCTCCTGCCAGGCGTCCTTCTGTTGGGAGACCGATGTTGCTGAGCAACAGTTTGCGCGCGCGCGCGCGCACACACACACACACAGCACTGTGCACACATGTGTCCATGCACACGTGTACACAGCTGTGTGCGCGTGTGTATATGGACGTACACACGTTACAACCTTCCACAAGCTGCGTGCACACATGTGCACACACGTATGCACTACACACATGGCCACACACTGAGCTTCGTCAGTGGTGGCAGCTGGGCCACTGTCACTTCCTCTGCCCCACTTGTCTGCAGTCTCAGTGTGGTGATGGGGATGGGCGGGGTGAGGTGCTCACGCAGCTGGTGTCCTTCCACAGGGGTGTCCGTGGGCTCCACAGAACAGCAGTTCAGCCTCGCAGACATCCTGTCGCAGAACTACGGCATCCAGGAGGAGTGTGAGGAGGCTCTGAGACACCCTGAGCAGCCCAACGGGCAGCTGCACAAGGACGTGGTCTCCCAGGTACGTGTGCCTGGAGCGCTGCTGGGCTAATGTCACAGTTTCTTCATTTGGCTAAATTGGTCCGCAGGCTGCAGACTCTGCAGTTCCAATTCCTGCTTGCACATCTGTGTGCCAGGAGCTGAGGTCACAAGGGACAGGATAGTCCTGGCCCTGCCTTCCAGAGGCTCTAGGGCCATGGATCAGTGGGGTGGCTGGACACTGAACCTGCCATTCTCAGACTTTGGCGTCAGATCCCGCTTATGCTCGTAACGGTTATTGAGGCTCTTGAGCAGCTTTGTCGATGCAGTAAACCCCATTGTCAGGAGAGATAATGTATTTTTATGAAAATGAAAAAATAACTTTTCCAAAACAAAAACAATTAGGGAGGAATGGAATCATGTTATATTTCTGTAGCCCCGAATGCAGGAGCAGCTAGGAGAGTGCAGCTGCGCTGGGCGGCCGTGGGCCTGTGACACACTCTTCTGGTTGAAGTGCATTTGGCTTCACACAGCTCTGCTCCTGGAAAACACAGGGTGTCCAACAGCCTTGTCACATAATCATTGTTATTCTTTGATGAGGGACCAAAATTCAGCAACTGGTCGTTTTGAAAAGGTTGGTCACAGTATGTCCAGCGAGCCTCCTGCTCTTGATTAGGTCACCATCTACTGGTCTTGAACTTGGCGTGGACTTTCACCCGGCTGTGACCTTGTCACCTGTGCACTGATGACATGTTTGCAAAACCGTGGTTCCCTGACATGTAGCTCCACATGTCTTCAGAGTTCACAATCTAAGATATAAACACACACATTTGTTAATACCTACCCTGGGGGGCTTAAACTCCAGACATGTATTTTCTCACAGTTGTGGGGCCAGAAATTCCAGACCAAGGTGTGCAGAGCTGTTTGTGGGGTGATCTCTTCCCAGTGTGCAGACACTGTTTTCTCGCTGGGTTGTTACATGGAGGAGAGAGAGTCCCCCATTGGACCAGGGCCCCATCCTTAAGACCTCCTTTAAGTATTTTCATAAAGGCCCATCTCCAAATACAGTCATGTTGGGGACTAGGGATTCAACACATGAATTTTGGGGAGACACAAACGTTTAGTCCATAACAGTATCAACACTGAATTTATCAGATGTCTTATAAGTATTGGGAATTTTTTTAATGACTAATCACAGGGCATTTGTTTAGCTTGGTGCCATGTATCACTTAGTATCAATTTTGTCTTCTAACCAAACCAGATGTCTTCTCTTCAAAAAAGAATAAACAATTTTAAAAAGTTCAACATGAATTCAAAACTTTTCAAAACTTCCCCAAACCCAAAGCAGATATTTATTAACTAAATACTTAGATGTAGATTTTCTTCAGATAAATTAAAAACTAAGAAAAGGAAAGAATATAATATCTAAGGTAAAAGCAGGAACACTTGCCATTTTGTCACCTTACCAGAGGCTGTGGCAATCTGTCAAGTTCATGGTGTCAGATCCAGATTTTCCAAAATTAGAATTTTTTGCTTAAAAGCTCAAGTTTGCCTCTCGTAGCAACCAGGTAGTTGTTTTCTCTGAAGTAGCAGTCTTCCGGGGCCCTGTCAGGAACTGACTGGAGGATGGGGGGGTGGTGTGTGTGTGTGTGTGTGCGCGCCATTCTCTCAAGTAAAGATGGGCCCAAGCCACAAGGGCAGCTTGCTCCCCTCACCAGTGCCTCCTGATGGGGTGTGGCAGGCACTTCCTACATGCTTCCCATTTCTTCACACAGAAAATTAAAATGATGTCTGCTCAGGGTGAGATTTGGTAAAGTCAGTACTCACATGGGATGTTAAGTGAAGCTGACGTCTTTGGGTGGCTGTGAGGACCGCACACCCCAGTGCCCCGGCCTGGGAGCTGTGCCCACACTGCAGGTTCTGCTCCATCAATGTCCTGGGACATGGGAGGGCCAGCACCTCAGTGCCCCACAGAGGTCCCAGGGCACCCGGGTGTCTTTGGGCCACTGTGTAAATCCCCTCAGCTATGATGGGCAAAGTGAATGTTTTTTGTCCTGGTTCCTGTGAGAGTTAAAGTGGGAACTTGGTTTCGATGTCGGGGAATGGCTGCTGACAGGAAGGGCTGAGAAGAGGCTAGGGGTCTTCCACTGGGGCTGGGTGCCCCAGTTGGGGGGAGGGGTGGCAGGTGCTGACTTGAGAGAGTGAAAGGGAATGTGTAGGAGGCTGGACGCTGACAGTGACCCAGGTCAAGATGCAGTGGTTTGAAGGCACCAGCCTCAGGAGTGGTGGTTTACAGGAGGTTAAGAAACATATTTGAAAGCAATACTGGGAGGAAGGTGATGATAGTTGTAGTCTCTTCCTTTTCAGTAACTAAATGCTGTATTTCTGTTTCTTGTTGTATTGCATTGGCTCGAAGTGTCAAAATAGTGTAAGTAGCTATGGTGCTCTTGAGCTTGCCCTCCTGTTCCGAGTGTGGGGGGCTTGCTCTTGCCATGCACTGTTGACTAGCAAGGGTTGACAGTGTCTCTGTTACACTGACAGGGCATCCATCTCTGTACTTTGTACTCTGAGGGCTTTGTAAAATTGGAGGTGGATAATGGATGTCACCAGATGTCTTTCCCGCATTTAATCATGGCTTCTCCCCTGATTTATTGGTGTCCTACGTTGTGATAGGTTTCCAGGCAGCACACCATCCTTGCTTTCCTGGAGCCAGGCCTGCACCAGGCTGAGCAGGGATGTTTTTCTGGGTAGTGCAATGTGGGCCCTTCAAGGCTGGTGACTGTGGGCACACAGCTGATCTCTCTGGGTTCTGGCGTCTCATCTGTGCTTCTTCTGAGTATTGTAAGGGAGTCCTCAGGTGAAGGACTGGGCCTGGGGTCTGGCTGGGGTGAGTTGTTGAGAATATGACACACTGGCTCTGGTTGTATGGCTGAAGAGGCTTGGGCACGAGGAGGGGGAGCAGACCCCCAGAGCAGCCCCTCCTGACAGAGTGCTGTCTCCCTCAGAGTAGTGACATGCCCCTTGATGAGCTGCTTGCCCTCTACGGCTATGAGGCATCAGACCCTATCTCGGAGCGGGAGAGTGAGGACAGTGACGCTGCAGCCCGCCTTCCGGACATGACTCTGGACAAGGTGAGGGTCCCCCTGGAATTGGTGGGAGGGCTCAAGGAGGGCAGAACGAAGGCCTGGAGAAACAGAAGTGCTATCAGTACATGAGGCCTGAATGACTTAGAGCCACCTGCCCAGGCTGGGATGGACAGACCCTGACAACAGGCCGAAGGGAGAGCAGAGTGGAGACTGACCTGGAAAAGGGCAGCTGGGAGGGAGGCGAGCCAGTAAGGCCCCGACCCTGTGGTCCTGACTAGGTTGGGGCAGGTGTCAGGAGGGCAGGCCTTAGTACTAAAGTGAAAACCAAATGCACAACGGGAGAAAGCAGTGACTGGGCTCTAACTATCCCCTGCCAGACATAGGCCATGTCCCTTTTCAGGCTGCAGGGCTGTGGGCTTGAGAATCACACTTGGAGCTGGCGCCCTGCCCTTGTGCCTGGTCCCATCTGCAAAGTGGGAAAAGCAGCCCCATGTGAGCCCTCGGTGCTCCCAGAGGGCAAGTCCTCTAAAAATTAGTACCATGGTTGTTACTGTTGTTAGTGTTATCTTAAGACTGTGAAGGCAAACTGCAAAATGTTCTCTACTTTCTTGTTAAAAGGAACAAATAGCGAAGGATTTGCTTTCAGGGGAAGAAGAGGAAGAGACACAGTCCTCAGCTGACGACCTCACCCCATCCGTGACCTCGCATGAAGCCTCTGACCTCTTCCCTAAGCAGAGTGGACGTAGGTGTCCTGCCTGCTGTTCCACCTGGGCCAAGCAAGGCTCTGGTGGTGTGCACAGAGGGGCCCTGGGCTGCTGGGGGCAGGGAGCACGGGCCTGTTCTCGGCCTGAACTCCTCTGGGGTTCCCATCTCCCTGGCTTGTGAGCTGAGACTGAGTAGCTTTGGTTTACTTGAGGAGGGACTGTGTTGGTTCCTGTAGCAAAAGCTTGTCAGATTTGGATGCAGTGTCCTCAGACTGTTCTCCCCCAGCCCTGTCTGCCTCTGGCCCAGGAGGCCTAGCAACATTAGATTTAGTGAGTCCCTGCTACTGTGCCCGTGCATTGTGCATCTGTCATCTGGCAGAGCCTGGGACGCGCCTCTTGTCAGGAGAGGCATGGCGTGGGAGGTCAGGTGGATGGAGAGTGGGGTGGAGGCTGCAGCAGTGGAGACTGCTGTGGAGGTCCATTAGCCTGGGGTCCACCTAGTGCCACAATGTGTCCCACCTGTTCCCAAAGCCCGCTTCCTGACTGGCACAGACGAAGAGCTGGGCTCTTCCACCTCATCCGACACTGAGGAGGACCCTCTTCCTGCCAACAAATGTAAGAAGGTGCGTGGCTTTCACCCTGTGGTGTCCTCGTTGGGTGGCTGTGCCTGTTCTAGGGCAGGGGTGGGCGCATGGCTTCTGAGCGCCGGGCTGGGACTTGAGCCCATGCTCTATGGCATCTGCTGGCCCAGCAATGTGGCCCCAAGGTCCTTCCTGCACACCTGGGTTATTGGGCCACCCCCCACCCTGCCACATGACTGGCTACACTGGACATAGGGACAAGTAGAAAGTGATGCAGGGTCGCCCATTCACCCACACACATCCCAACCTCTGCCTCCTGCTCTCAGATCACAGGATGTGGCAGTCTGCGGGCAGATTGCACAGATTGACCCAGCCCTGGGCTCAGGGCTCAGAACCACACCCCACCTACCCTACTCCCCTGGGCCTCTTGCCTTTGCAGGAGATCATGGTTGGGCCCCAGTTCCAAGCTGACCTCAGCAACCTGCACTTGAGCCGCCATGGTGAGAAGAGTAAGTGGGGCCCGGGTGGTGGAGGAGGAAAAATGAAAACCCTGCGCCAGCCAGGAAGGAACTCACTTCACGTCTGGCCTGAGCGAGTGCCCAGACCTCGGAGGGAAACTGAAGGGACCAGCCTGGTCAGGTGCTCGCCCTGCATCAATTGTGGCGCGGCCAAGTTTGGGCCGGAGGAAGTGGGAGATTCGGCCCCCTGCCCAGGACCTCGCACTTGTCCTCTGGGCACATGCTGCTCCCCACTCAGCCCACAGGTTTCTCTCTTACCTTGTCCCTATCTTGTCCCAGAGCCCTCCCGGTACCCCATCCTGGACTTGATGTCTGTCTGTTGATCCCACTGCAGTGTATAGTGGCCTCTGTTGTCCTGAGACAGGAATTGTCACCTCATTTGCAGGTGAAAAAAACAGAATGGGGTCACCTGCCTATTGACTTGTCCAGTGTGTCTTGCCCCAAAGCCCCACTGGCCCTGGGTTGGCACCCTTGGCTCAGGAGACTACCCAGATGATTCAGCAGCCAGGATTCCAGGGGGAGGAGGGACAGAGAAGGGAGACAGGGACCCTCAGCAAGGAGAACAAGGCCTCTCGGGGGCCAGAGGCTGGGCATGGGTGTGGTAGGATGTGCTTCCTCCATTGTAGGCTGCTTGGGTAAAGGATGGGGGACAAGAAAGTGTAGCTAAGCCAGGTCACCAGGGACACCGCAGTGACTCTCTGAATCCGACCATACAGGGACACCTCCCCTGAGGCAGCAGTGCACACCCCTCAGCTAACCCTTAGGCCAGAGCCCACGAGCAGCCTGCCCTCCCCTGCAGGCAGCTGTGCTCCTTATTTCCTTGGGGATGTTAACACCGTGACATTAAGTCCATGTGTGTGGTCCCTTCTGTTGTGGCATGACTGTCCTCAGGCATGTCTCAGTGGACACACTTGTTCCTGGATAGGTGGCTCGGAGGCACATGGTGGCCTACATTTGGTCTGTGGGCATTGCCCCAGGTCCCCCCAGCAGTGTGCTGGAGCTCCAGTGGCTCTCCATCTCAGCAACACTTGAGATTGTCCTTCCTATTGATTTTAGCCGTTCCAGTGGGTGTGAGTGGTTTCTCCTGGTTGTTTTCATTTGCATTTCTCTGATGAATAGTATGTCTGCTGTCCACTTGGGTATCTCCTGTGAGGTGCCTGCTCGGGGCCTGTCCCCACTTTCTGATTTATGGGACCCTTCTGTGTTCTGTATATAAGTCCTGTGTGGGCGCTGTGTACTGCATGTTTCCTCCCCAAGCCTAGCTCATCGATCTGTACTTGAACCCACTGTGTGTATGGGCTGTGATCTTAACTTACAGTTGGGATGGGGGCGTCTAGATCTCAGGTGCTCTGGCACCACACACTGGAGGTCATTGTTGCCCCACTGAGTCGCAGTGTCGGTGATGTGAGCGCTGTTTCTGGGCCTGGGCTGTACTGCTCTCTGATCTGACCTGCGTCATTCCTACGCTGAGGCGCACGCCAGTAGCTTGTAACACTGCCTGCCGTTTTACTTTGTGTCTGTCCTTGCCAGGCTTCAAGTCAGGGTGTTACCATGCTTACCAAGTGTACTGGGAAGTGCCTTTCTCTAACATCAGAGAATTTGTGTGAGATTGTTACTGTTTTCTTTTTCAGATGTTTGGAAGTGTGCTTCAGTGAAGCCTTCTGGGTCTGGGGTTTACTTTAGTTTCATTTTTGTGGAAGATTTTTAATTATGAATTAGACATATTTAATATAGTTCAGTCTGGAGCTTCCATTTCTGTTTTGATACATTCTTGAGGTGTTTATAACATTAATAAATTAATTTTATCATAAAAGAGACCATAATATTCTTTTATCTCTTAATATCTGTTTAATCAACCGTGATGTCTGTCCTCTTTTTTTAAGTCCCGATGTTGCTATTTTGCATTTTTCTCCTTATATTCCCTATTGATCAGCCATGTTAGGGGTTTGTTACTTTTATTACCCTTTACAAGGAGCTAACTTTTTGCTTATTGATTTCTCTCTGTTGTCTGATTGCTATTTGATTGATTTTTAGTTTTATCTATATTTCTTTCTGCCTAGTTTACTTCATTGTAGTTTGTTATTCTCTAGTTCACAACTTCTCTGACCCAGGGGTTACTTAGAAGTGTTCTGTTTAATCTCCAAATGCTGGAGATTTCCTGGTTATCCTGCTGTCACTGATTTCCAGTTGAATTCCTGAGAGCATGCTCTGTGATCTCAGCCCTTTTAAATGAGTTGAGCCTTGTTTTATGGCCAGTATTTAGTCTATTTTGGTAAATGCTCCTTTCTGTGTTCTCATATTTGGAAGTGCATTTTCTGTAAATGGCATGTTTTGGGATCTAATTTTTTTTTTTTTTTAAGCTGAGCCATCCTGCCACCTGTTGGCAGCTCAGCGGCTGCTCAGCTCGGGCCAGGCATCGAACCGCTGTTGCTCAGAGCTCAAACTCTTGAGTGAGCTCTTAACCAACTGAGCCACTCGGCCGGCCCGGGATCTAATTTTTTTTACCCAGTCTGATAGTCAGTCTTTTGCCTTTTAATAGAGAGTGTTTAATCCAGTTACATTTAGGACTATTTTTCATGTAATTGTGAAAATGGTTGGGATTAGGTCACCGTCTTCCATGTGTTTTCTACTTGTTCCATCTGCTCTTTGGTCCTTTAGTTTTTTTCTTGTCTTCTTTTTTTAAAAGATTTTATTGGGGAATTGGGGGAGGGAACAGCATTGGGGAATTGGGGAAGGGGAATAGATAAGTTGCTGTCCTTTTTTGTTCTTCAGTCTAGTTGTGGAGGACGTCGCTTCACTGGCCCATGTTGGTATTATCATTGCGCTCTTTCTGGGTGAGGCAGTCGGTTGCCAGCCACTGGATGGCCACTCATGGCGACTCTAGGCAGCTCATGCCAGCTGCCGGCTGCTCACGGTAGCTTACGGCAGCCCACTGCAGCTCCACTGCAGCTCCACTACAGCCTACACTGTCGCCGGTGACCCATGGCAGCCTAGCTCCAGGTCAAGCTGTTGTTCACCATCTTAGCTGTAGAGGGCGCAGCATCACTGGCCCTCATGTGGGATCCGAACTGGGGCCCTGCCGCTCAGAGCTGGCATCCCAAGCCAACTCTTAACCAAGGCGCCACTCGGCTAGCCCTTTTGTCTTCTTTTTGATTAATTAAATAATTTTATTCTATTTTTTTCCTCCTCTTTGGCCAGTTTCCACCAAAGTCCACTTCTTATCCTTCCTTAATGCACCTGCCCTCTACCGCCACTATGGGGCAAGACTCCCCTCATTTGAGCAAAGCATACTCGTATGTAGCTTGTGTGATGCGGTTAGTGGTTGTGGCCTAAGCAAGACCACCTGGGAACCTGGTCTCACTGCTGTCATCAAATCCGGGATATTTATGCTGCTCCCTCGGGACTCTGTTTTTTTTTTTAAAGATTTTTATTGGGGAATTGGGGGGATGGGAACAGAGGTGGGGAATTGGGGGAAGGGGAACAGACAAGTTGCTGTCGTTTTGTTCTTCAGTCTAGTTGTGGAGGACGTTGCTTCACTGGCCCAAGTTGGCACCATCATTGCGCTCTTCCCGGGCGAGGCAGATCAGTCGCCGGTTTCTGGACGGCCGCTCACTGCGGCTGCTCACTGCGGCTGCTGGCCGCTCACGCTGGCTGCTGGCTACACACGGTAGCCCATGGCAACCCACTGCAGCAGGGGCTGCAGCCTACGCCGTCGCCGGCTACTCACAGCAGCCCAGCTCCAGGTTGAGCTGTTGTTCAGCATCTTAGCTGTGGAGGGCAGTGTCACTGGCCCTCATATGTGGGATCCGAACCGGGGCCCTCTGGCGTCCCAAGCGAGTTCTTAACCAACGCGCCACTCGGCCGGCCCGGGACTCTGTTTTTCAAGGCTTGCAAACCATGCAGCCTCCCTTCCAAAGGCCATGCTCAGAAATCCTCCTCTGCCTCAGTTTTCCTGGCTGGGAAGCACCTGGCTGGCTTCCCACAGCTTTCTGCCCTTCATCATTATCCTGACCACCCTGGGCCTGGTTACTGCTGGGCCTAGAGGGGTGCGGAGGAGGCGGGCACAGCCCATAGGAATCGGACATACAAACAGCACCTGTCCTCTGGAGGTGCTGTGACGGCTGGCCTGGTAGGTGCATGTGGAGGGGAAGTGTGTACTTCTTGAGGTGCGAACCATGAGCCTGCAGCTGACCCTGCCCCTCCTTTTGTACAGTCTATGAGAATGAAGACCAGCTGCTCTGGGACCCTACCGTCCTCCCTGAGAGAGAGGTGGAGGAGTTCCTGTACCGGGCAGTCAAACGGAGATGGCATGAGATGGCAGGTTCTCAGCTCCCGGAGGGAGAAACTGTGAAAGACAGTGAGCAGGTAGGCAGTGCACTGGGGAGGGTGGGGTGAATGTTCCCAGTATCCCTGCCCTGATGGTGGTGTGAATGCCCCGATATCCCTGCCCCCGGTGGTGTGAACTCCCCCATGCCCTCACCCCAATGGTGTGAATGCCCAGATATTTTTGCCCCATGGTGTGAAGATCCCAATATTCCCACCCCAATAGTGGGGTAAATGCTCCCGATGTTGCTCAGTGGTGAGCAGGTGAGAAGAAGCTCTCGCTCCCCCAGGCACTGTATGAGCTGGTAAAATGCAGTTTCAATGTGGAGGAGGCCCTACGGAGGCTGCGGTTCAACGTGAAGGTAATCCGAGGTGAGCACCCGTCATGCCTGCCCTGCCCTTTGCCTGCTGCCCTGGTCTGAGCACTGCTGACACCACTGCCCCCTCCTGGTGGCAGATGGGCTCTGTGCTTGGAGTGAGGAGGAGTGCAGGAACTTTGAGCATGGCTTCCGAGTGCACGGGAAGAACTTTCACCTGATCCAGGCAAACAAGGTGAGGACACTGCCAATCTGGCTTCCACCAGGCTACACCAGGGGCTCCTTGGGGCTGGGAGAGTCAGGGACTCGGGAGCCTGGGCACATGGCAACCTGCACCCCACAGCAGGAGGTCAGGACTCCCCTCACCAGGCTCCTGCAGGCCCCTCCAAGCCGAGGGCTAAAGCCCTGGTTCCCTGTACTGGGCAGTCAAGCTTGTTGCATGCCTGTTGTCATCTTTTTCTAGTCTCTGCCAAACCACATTCCATCCCGGAAAGCAAGCTCCAATTATAGGAGAGATTGTGCCTGAAGGCGAATTTTAATAGTTGTGTCTGTCCCTTATCCATTCCTGTGGTCATTGGCACCGCCTTGCTGTCTCCCTGGAGCAGAACCTGTTGGCTCAGTGCCCACTGCCGATGCTGCAACATTGACCCCTAGCCTGGACTCCACCCTCAGCTCCAGCTATGTGGACCAAGGGTCTCTTAGTTCAATCAAACCAAACAGGTCCTTCCTGACACGTGTGACAAACACATGACCAGAGGGGCTGCCAAGTGCCAAGTCCCACCCTCCCCTGGACCTGAATCCCTTTGTCCTTCCCTAGACCTGAGTCCTTCTGTCCTTCCCTAGCCCTGAGTCTCCCTGGTGTTCCCCTAGACCTGAGTCCCCCGTCTTCCCCTATACCTGTCTCCCTGTCCTCTCCTACACCTGACTCCCCATCCTCCCCTAGCCCTGAGTCCTGTGCTTCCCTAGACCTGAGTCCTGTGCTCCCCTACCTCTGAGTCCCCCTGTCCTCTCCTAGCCTTTGGTCCCTCTCTCTGGGCCTCTGGCTGCATGTGTTCTCATGACTGTCTCAGCCTGAATTTTCCTATCTCTCCGCGGCTCCCTCTTTTCACCCCTCCTCCCAGTGGTGGTCCTGCAAGCAGCCCTGGCCCCTTCCTATTGCTTATGGCGACAAGGCTTATGGAGAAGCAGGGCCTGCTGGAACCTTGCTCATGTTTGGAGTCTTGGTGTCCACTGCGGTGCTCAGCTGACCGTGCCCAGCATTGCCCCAGGCAGTACTAGATGCTCTAGTGGGATCAGCACCTGGTGGCCTGACATAGCAGCCAAGGCTGCTGCTGTGAGCGGAATCTTACACGCGTTGTTTTCCGTACGTTCCCCCCCACCCCCCACCCCGGTCACCATGTGCTTTTAAGTTCACACTGGCCCCCCGGGAGGCTGTGATGCTCTCACTCCCAGTCCAATAGGACAGTGCGTGTGTGCCCAGCCCCCTGGTTCCCAGGCCTCCCTGGGCTCCGGTGTCTCTCCCCATCCTGGGGACCTGCAGGGGTTCTCACCTTGTAGCTGCAGCATAGCCGCAGCCTTGTGGCGGCCCCTCCAAAGTGGGAAGATGCCCCAAATCACAAGAGGTTTGCCAGGTGACGTCCAGGTCCATGCCAGATGTCAGTCTCAGGGTGTCGCCCTTGTCTTTCCAGGGTGCTCGTGTACGTGATCTGAGTCTGGGGTTCACGAAGCCCCAGTGAGTCTAACGGCATCTCATGTGCTCACAGACAGTTCTCTCTCCGGGTATTAGTGACGCTCTATGGGAAAAGTGGGTGCAGCCGGGTCACACACCATCCTCTCTGGGTTGGGGCTCTGTCCCTGGTATCTGCATGGGGGCTCGTCATTTCCCCTTGCTGGGCCTGCAACGAGCAAGGGACGAAGTGGATGCTGCCATCTATGGGAGCTTGTGGAGCCAGAGTGAAGGAGAATGGTGTCCCAGGCCAGCAGGTGGCAGGGCTGTCTGAGATGGGGGTGCCATCATGCTCAAGGTGAAGGGAGGAGCCCCGGAAGTAGGCTGGCCTGTGAGCCTCAGATGGGGGCTGGAGGTGAGTGCAGAGGGCCTGGGCCCAGGTGACGCGTGCTGTCCCTTAGGTGCGCACACGGTCCGTGAGTGAGTGTGTGGAGTATTACTACCTGTGGAAGAAGTCCGAGCGCTACGACTACTTCTCCCAGCAGACCCGGCTGGGCCGCAGGAAGTACGGCCCATCAGGATCCACGTACGAGCAGCGGGCTCCCAGCAATACCTGGGGTTGGGGGGACTGGGAGTCCTGGAGAGCACCTCCCATCTCAGGCAGCTGTCCCTCTGCAGCCCCCCATAGCACCCTCTTTCTACAGGGATGCAGATCAGGACCTGGACAGCAGTGACCCCGATGGCCTCAGCCATCCCCGCTCCTTGCCATCCCTGCCCCCTGACACTGATAGCCTGGGCCTAGAGCAGGACCCCCTGACACAGATGCACACAGGTGAGAATGTGGGGGGCTCCTCTTTGGGCTCCAGTGGTTGGGGGACTTCTTTTGACCCCGGGTGGGGATGCTTAGCCCCAGCAGCTATGTGGGAGATCGGAGGGGGTGGGTGTCAGAGTCCTCTCCAGCATCCTGGGCCCAGGGCCACAAGGGAGCAAGACAAAACCTGGCTTGTGACTTCAGTTTCTGAAGGTGACCACAGACAGAAGGACAAGGATCTTTGCCTTCTGCATCTGTTGGACTCGGGCTTAGATTGATTGGTTTCTTGATTTGCCTGGAAGGGCGCCCACATCTGCCCGCCTGGAGTTGCCTGTCATGCACTGTGCGCCGAGCTCCACAAACCCTTCTCTCAGCCTGACTTTGCAGCATTTGTTTGTTCTTTTTTTAAAGATTTTTATTGGGGAATTGGGGAAGGGGAACAGACAAGTTGCTGTCCTTTTGTTCTTCAGTCTATTTGTGGAGGACGTCGCTTCACTGGCCCATGTTGGTATTGTGATCATTGCGCTCTTCCCAGCTGATGCAGATCAGTCGCCAGCCATTGAACGGCAGCTCACGGCGGCTCACGCTGGCAGCTGGCCACTCTTGGTAGCTTACAGCAGCCCACTGCAGCCCCGCTGCAGCCCACGCCTTGGCTGGCCACTCAAGGCAGCCCAGCTCTAGGTTGAGCTGTTGTTCACCATCTTAGCTGTAGAGGGCGCAGTGTCACTGGCCCATGTGGGATCCAAACCAGCGGCCTTGCTGCTCAGAGCTCGAGCTCCCAAGCCAGCTCTTAACCACCGAGCCACCCTGTTTGTTTGTTCTTTTGAATGTTTTGTGCTCCATTCACTTTGAAAAGCGGGAGTCACAATCTCCCAATGCTGGGCCTTAGCCTGGGCGCACAGATGCCTGGAAGTGGCTTCTTCTGTGTTCATATGTATCGTGTGTGTCAGTGAAGAGGGTCCATTGGCTTTACTGGGCCTCACCTGAAGGCAGTGTGACCTTGAGCCTGTGCAGTTTAGTGGGGCCTGGCCTCAGCAGTACTCTCTCCCACAGAGCCACCAGGCATGGATGGCATGGCTAGCAGTCCTGCTGAGCCTGAGGAGGGCTCCAGTGGCCTCCTGTTCTCGGAGCCAGGACCCCATCTGTTCCAGCAGCCGGACGCACCCCTGGCTATGCCCCAGCCCGGGTGGCCCCCAGCGCTGGCTGAGCCGGCCTCCTGTCCCCCAGCTGCAGCTGCCCCGGAGCCTGGTGCTGGCCCAAGGCTGGCTGTGGACTTGGCTCTGCCCCCTGAGCTGCCCCTCGTCTCCAACCATGAGGGTATGGATGGAGAGTCTGAGGAGGCTGTGGCTCCTGCACAGGTGGCCTTGTCGGTCACTGAGTTTGGACTCATCGGGATTGGGGACGTGAATCCTTTCCTGGCTGCCCGACCGGCATGCCCGGCCCCTGGGCTGCACTCAGAGCCCCTGTCACAGTGAGTGTGGTCCCCATCCCGGGCCCCAGCCTCAGGCCACTGAGGACAGTGGGAGGGTCTGCCCAGTGCCTGAGGGTGGTGTGGCCAGTGGAGCAGTCTGTCTGTTTCTTTAGTTTCATTCTCTATTTTTAATTTGGCTTATTTATTTTTTTAACTAGGTAATACATTCATATGGTTCAAAACCCAAAAGGTACAAATGGGGCCAGTGGCAGTCCCCTCCCACCCTGCCCCCATGCTCCTCAGGCACATGTGACAACAACACGGTCTGCTGGGGGCGGCAAGGTCGGGAGCTCTGTGGCCTGTGGGACTGGGCTGACGATCTCTCGGTCTCTCTTGGTTCTCCCACTGTAGCTGTAACGTGATGACCTGTTGATCCCTGGCCACATGTGGGCGTGAGTGGCCCAGACTGGCCTTGGTGCCACTGTGGGGCCTGCCTGTCAGTCTTCCCGATCCTTCTACTCGTGGGCCTCGGGCGATGGCGTCTCTGCTTCAGAACACTTCAAGGACTGGGGTGAGCGGTGGCCAGGCTGTTGGCCCTGTGCCTCCCCACACAGACTGGCACCGCCACCTGCACCGTGGGACCTGGGCATCTGGGGTGCAGAGGCCCGGCCCCGTCCAGCCAGCAGAGGCGAGGAAAGGTGTCTCTGCCCGTTGGGGAGATGGGGAGATGGGGCAGGACGCCACCCGCACCAGCAGCCTTGCCCCAGGGCGCCCTCAGCACTCTGCTTGGCTCCGTCTCCCGCACCCGGCAGGGCCATGGGCTGCCCCAGCCCAGGGTGGTGGGCAGCTGCTACTGGTGCCAAACCCCATAGGGCACAGAGCCATATACCTCGGCGTTGGCCCTACCCCTCTGGCCTCGCCTGCTGTCCATTTCAGGAAAAGCCGCACTTTATGCCCACCTGCCCCTCCAGTTCCGCCTGGGGCCCCTCAGCAGCCTCGGGCGTGCGTCTGGGACACAGGTGACTGACACCCCCGTGGTACAAGGCCCATTGCCTGCAGTGCCCAGGGGCTGGGTTCCAGCCCGTTCTCCTGACCCTGCGGGTGGCATTTCTGTTGAAGCCCCCAGCAAGATGGTTCGGGGTTCTGGTCCTTCTCTGCCCCAGCCTCCCTTGTTTTATTTATGTTTCTGTTTACAAATTGGAGTGAGGTCCTCCAGGGGGGCAGGGCAGCGCTCCCTGCCCCTGGGTGTCACCAGGAGAGTTTTGGCTCGAGTCCATCTGCAGAGTGGGACTCAACCTCCCCTGTCACCCCACCAAGGACTGCACTGTGAAATGATAACTGCCTTGAACCCCTTGCTGTTTTATTTATTAAACTTAATTTGAAGCCCTGTGGGTGCCTTGTGATGGACTGGGTGGGGCCTGAGGATGTGCCGGGGAGCTGCAGGTCACCCTTGTCACTTAGTCACTTGGTGGGCTGCCAGGCAGGATCTAGACTAAGTGGTGACCGAGAGCATGGGGGCCGTGGTCCATGTTATGAAGACCGATGCGAGGGAGGTGGTCTGTTAAATGGAGGGGGCATTTAAGTTGAAACCTAAAGGAGAACCAGCCTGCTTTGGTGGGGGCCAGTGAGTCAGGCTGAGGTCAAGTGAGGTAGGCAGGGGCCTGTCCCAGGAAGAGGCTGAGCCTGGGAGAGGCAGGTGGGCTGGCCGGCAGGTTTCGTCCTCAGGCCCCTAGAGGGGTGAGCAGGGGCTCGGTTCCAAATGTGCAGTTTTCAAAGCTGCCTTGGTGGCTGGGCAGGGACAGGGGACACAGCTGGGTGGGACTGGCCTGGATTGAGATGTCCAGGGTTGGGGAAGAGGTGATGGTCCCCGTTATTTGGGGCTTAGTCCTTGCAGAGCTGGTTATGCCAGCACTGGAAGCAGGGGCGTCTGGGGTTGGGGTGTAAGGACTTTAGGATGATTTTAATCGGACTCTTCTAGTCTATTTTCATCTTTACATGCTTCAGAGACGTGTCCCTCCTGTCCCCTGGCTTGCTCTGCTCCCAGCAGGAAAGCTGCCGTGGTCCTCTGTGTTTTCACTCTGACTACTTTTAAGGTTTTGTCTTTGTCCCTGGTTTTGAACAGTTTGATGTGTAGCCTTTTCAGACTGGCTGCTTCTGCATGCTGATGAGCACTGAAGCCCCTTTGTGCCTCCTCGGGGCTCGCTCTGAGTAATGTCCCATCATCTGGTGGCTGCCAGGTATCGTCCACTCAGCGGCTGATGGGCGGCACTTCTGGGTGCAGCCCCTGTCACTGTAGGTTTTCATGTGGACATTGGGGCAAATACCAGAGGCTGACTGACGGTGAGTGTCTGGTTTGTCAGAACCCCAGTGCTGTGGCTCCATGGCCACCCGCTCTGCATACCGTCCCTGTCCCCAGTGTGTGCATGGGGCTGTCCCCATGAGTGTGTGGCACTTCATTTTCTGTAGCCTTTGAGAGCTGGGCATGCATTTCTTCACCAACACTCCTCGCCCCCTCCTTTGTTTGTGAAGCACTTTATTCATTTTTGGCAAGATTAGCATTTTAAAGATGTTTTATAGACTCCTGGTTTCTAACAAGAAATCGGCCATTCCTACTTGTGTTTTCCAGAGTGTAACCTGTTTGTTTTCGCTGATTTCCTCTTGTCGGGATACCAGCCTTTGAGGGTGATGTGTCCACTGGCCTTCTGCGCTGGGGGCTCTTGGGCCTGAGGCCGGTGCCATGCACCGAGTTGGGCCATCTTGGCCATGACTTCTCTCTCCCCAGTTACACAGGGGAGCACGGGTATTGTCCCACAGATTTCCGAGCATTCAGATGGTTCCTTTTGACTTGTCCTGAGGTCACTGGTCCTCTTTTCCACATTGCAGATGCTATGTGGGCCATACCCAGATGCTCCACTGTCCCTCTTCTGTTCCACCCCTTCTTCTGCATTCTTCCACAGTCCTTATCACACCCTGTGCTGACGCCATTCCTTGCAGGCTGCTGTAAGGACAACATGGAGATTGTGGTGCCTGGCACATGTGCCCCACAGGTGTCTGCAGGTAACTGCTGGGGTGTGGCTTTGCCTTGCTATCCAGCAGAGGCCATTGCTGCCCTACCGCTCTGCAGTATCTCCTGATCTTGGCCAAGCCTCCTCTGGAGTGAAGTACCCTGAAATGCCACCCCAGCCAGCAGTGGTCAGGGAAGGTGGGGGCTTGGGTTGTACTTTCCATGAAGCCAGCGCCTGTAGGAGTAAGCAGCTCACAGTCCAGGAGCAGCTGTCATCCCAGTGACCTCAGGCTACGGGACTGTCTTTCATTATTTACTAGGTCACTTTTCATTCAGTAAGCATTGATTGGGTGGGTACCTGCTGTGTGTGATCCCTGTTCTCTTGGGGCTTGGGTCTGGGGAGGACACTAGGATAAGCTGATGAGCAGACACATAGGCTGAGATGCTGCTAGAACTTAGAGCTGGCAGGTTTGGGGTAAGGCAGGGGACGGCACTGCAGTAGAGCTGAGGATTCCCAGGATGCTGACTGGGGACGTTGCCCTGTCCCTGGCTTGGGTCATGGGGCACTCGGAGACTGAAGTCCTAGTGCTGTGTGCAGGCTTGAGTTGACTGATGCTGGCTTCTGACTGAAGGCGAGCCCAGATATGTACTCCCACCGTGTTCCATTCAACCCTCCACTGACTGGTGCTTTCTAACAAGATGGGGCCATTCAGCCACCCAGAGGACTCCCAGTGACCCTAATCCTTGCTGCCCTGCTCGATTTTAATCCTGACTCTGCCTGAGTATTTTAAGAATAGGGTGAGGGTGAGGTCAGTGGGACTGGCTGTAGCCACACCAGCTCCATGCCCTCCTTCCAGCTGCTCTCCCTGCTTATCAGGGAACAGGCCAAGCTCCTTCTCAACCATGGCCTCTGCCCGCAGGAGCCGGGGCCATTGTGGGTCTCCAGGGCAGCCTCCATCCAGGCTGTCCCCACCACCACGTCCCCCTTTGGCAGGTGCCTCACAGCTGCCAACAAGCCCATCACACAGTAGGTGCTCAGTAAAGAACCTCACATTGCCTTGACTTCAGTACAATGTTGCACCTTCTCTCCCTGAACTGAAAGTGTCAGGACAGCACCTAGGCGGCACCTGATTGCAGCGAGGTTAAAGTGAAAAAAATGCAATACTGATAATGACGCCAGCTAACATTTTAACATTTTTGCGAGGCTGTTCATGTATTTTGTCATAATTCTCACAACAACCCTGATTCGGTAAGTGTTGCATGGATGCATCCATGAATGAACTACGGCCGCTGGAGGCTGGGACCAGCCGTTCCCCGGGGCTCTCCTCGCCCGGTGAGTGGCAGCAGGGGAAGCCAATAAATAGAGCCCGAGCCCGCCCGCCCGCGCTGGGAGGAGCGGAGAACGCGTTGGCCCTAGCGAAAGTTCCACCCTCGCCCAGATACTGGAAAACCCTCTGATCAAGTATAAAGGGATCCTTCGGCCGCCTAGGAGGAAGTCGGGGCGAGGGAGGAAGCTGCAAGTTTTAGGTTGTGCCCCCTTCGGCTCCTCGGGACTTGCGGTTGGAAGGGGGCGGTGGTAGTGCTGGTGATGTGCCTTCCACGCAGCAGAGGGAAAATCCAGGTCCAGAAGTTTCCAGGCCTTGTCCTGTCCTGGGGGTGGGTTGAGTTATTCGTGTGTGGGGGGGCCGGAGGTGTCTGCCAGCCTGCTTGAAGAAAGCTGATCTGGGGCACAGGGGACTTGACCCATAGATACTCGTCCCCGGACCCCACCATGTAGACGCTGGCAGCAGAGCAGCAGAGGTCTTTTATCCTCCCAGGAGGCAGAGTTGAGGGAGCTCTGAAATCAAGTCCCAGCAGCTTGACTTCGGGCCAAGGGCCGCCCCTCTGCTCTTCCGTCAAATGGGGTCAGTAAGTGCTACGTAGGGGCAGTGTCTGGCACAAACAGCCTCTAGGGTGGGTGTTGAGGAACCTGATCTGAACTGCCAGGATTTTAAACATCAGGAGAAAAGAAAAATCGCAATTAAGCCACTTCCCCCCATCAATTTTTATTCATCCAGGGTATGGAGATGTGCTCCGCACCAGAGCCATTCCCAAATGAAGAGACCGAGACTCAGAGAGGGGCCCGAGTTCCAGCCGCCTCCACCCGTGCTGCTGGGTCTGCCTACTCACCCCTCTTTCACTCCTTCCTTCTCATCCCCGCCCTCAGACCCAGCTGGCCCAGTCCGTGTGGGACCCGAGCGTCCGCAGGGACCCGGACACTTTGGGTGACCCTGGAATCGCTGTCCCTGAGCCTTAGCCTCCCCGCCTGGTGGGGGTGGTGAGTTGGGGGGACTGGACACTGACGACCCCTACGAGGTCAGAGACCCCCTCCTCCTACGTATGCCAGGACCCTCGCGGTCGGGCATACCCAACCTCCACCCGGGCTCTTTACTGCTCCTCTCTTTTCTGCACGCCGCGGGCGGGGCGGGGGCAGAGTCCGCCCCGAGTCCGCCCCCTCCCCTGGCTGTCCCGCCCTGCCCTGCCCTCCCCCTTCCCTGTCCTGGAGGGCCAGGCTTCGTGGCCCTGTGACCCCGCGGCCAGGCCGGGCCGGGACGGGACGGGACGCGCTGGGACCCGCGTCGGGGATCGTCGAAGCTACCCAGGGCGGGGGCGGCATGGAGCGGAGGTGGGTCTTCGTGCTGCTCGACGTGCTGTGCGTGCTGGTTGGTAAGAGCTGTAGGGACTTGGGTTTGGGGGGACTCTTTCCCAGGCGGTGCTCGCCCTGGCCCCGTTTGTAGGGCGCTGGGATGGTGGCCTGCAGCGCCTCCACCTGTCGGAGGCCCCCTCGAAGTGGGGGAACTCGGGGAAGGACACTTGGCGCCCTCCCAGCCTCAGTTTCTCCCACCCGCACCGGGTTCAAGAGTGGGTCGCAAACGGCGCCGGGGTTGGCAACCCCGCCCGTGGCAGCAGGAAGTCGCCAACGGGGCCACATGCGCCCCCCTCCCGCCGCGCGTGTGAGGGCTATGGTTCACGCGGGTGGGGCCTCGCCAGGCGGGCCGGGTAGGGGTGCAGCCGCGGGGCCCCGCCGGGACAACCTCCACGCCCCGGCCCGCGTCGCGTCGGTGGAATTAGAACCCTCGTGGTCCTGGGAGACAAGTAGAGAAAGCTGGGCCCCAGGCTGCGGGTTAGCAGGGGCCTCCGAGGCGCGACCGAACCTGTTGGGCGGCTTAGTGGGCCAGGCTGGGGGAGGGGGCAGCCCAAGGCCCCCTCCCCGCCCTTCCCCCAGGGTTCTGGGAACAAAGGCTGAGTGTTTGCACTGGGGCTGTGAGGACAATGGCCCCGGAATGGAATTTACCTCCAGTGGGTGGGGATGGGAGGAACCGTTTGGTTCTTGCTGCTATGATGGGACCAGGGGGCCAACGAGACCGACGGGGACGGAGGGGACTGAAGGATGGAGGGGTCAGGTCTGATGGATGGCAAAGGCCAGGCCCTCCTTGTATGTCCCAGATGAGACCCCTTTTGGGGTGGGTCAGGTGGCAGCGGGAAGAAATCCCCTAGGTACCATATCCTGAGCACCTATGTTATTTATTTAATATTTGTGTGGCACCTAACGGTATGCCAGCCACCAAGTGACATGCAAATAATTAAACCTTTTCTTCCTGTCTACTGAACAATAACATCGACTAGGTAGTCCGTCACCAAAAGGATTTATTCTGGAAAAGGAAAAAGTACTGCAGCAGCATGAGAATGCAGACCCAACGAGGCATATGCACATTCTGCCCTATGCCAAGATGGCGGATGGCAGGGAGACAGGAAGTTAGAGCCATAGAGTTTTATGAAAAGGGTGTTGGGACTGTACAGCTCAAGGAGACCAGCTCTGTCCACACACCTCCCAGCCTGATTAGTTTCCTTAAAGTCCCAGTTCATCTTTATCATTCCCCCCTTTTGATCAGGATCTTTCTCCAGAAGCATCACTGATCAATGCTCAGGTCTTCCATCTTCAGCCTTTTTGTCTCTCCATGTCAGGAAGGACTTCTGGGTGTCATCTCTCACATCGGAAGGAAAGTCCATGGATCAGAAACAGCTCATATCCAGGGTTAACAGACAACAGGTGCAGAGCTTAATAACAATAAAAATTTAAAACAGGGTAAGAACAACATAACCTAGTCTATATGATGGATGTAAGCTAGGAGAGTAAGCCTGTAGATAATGAAACAAAGACCATTATTGTCTTAGTAGATCAAAGTTCCTGATGACAGATTCAACAAACAGAAAGGTGCCCCCTCTTTCACAGTAGCTTCGGAAATGCGAACAATGGCATGTTCCTTCCACGGCAAAGGGAAAGATGAAATGAGAATCAATAGTAAGAAAAAAGTTGTACAGGCCTGATTCAGTCGTGTGGCAATTTATTTTCTTCAGAGGTCACCTGCTTTAACTTTTGACAGTTGTAGTTTTAGGTCATCAGACTGTGTGCAGTTCCAGTCAGGGTTTGATGCCTTCTGTAGGTGGCACGTGTGTATCCAAGACTCTACTCCCTGCAGTTTAACAGCACAGAGGTTCGTCAACAGTATCTGGTAAGGGCCTTTCCAAAGAGTCTGGAGGGAATCCTTTTTGAGGTATCTTTTCCAGTAAATAAAATCTCCAGGTTGCAGAGTGTGGATTGTGAGTTTTTCATTTCCCTGCCCTGGAATGTAGTGTGACAAGATTGTGCTACCAAAGCATGATTATTGTCAGTAGAAGCAATTAAGCCCTTACAATATTGAAGTATGTCTCCTTTTATCAACTGTGGATCAAAAGAGGCAGGAGCAAATGCATGGGGTGTACTATAATTATCTCAAAGGTGAAAGCTTGAGTCCAAAAGGGAGTAGACCTAAGGTCTAAAAGGACTAATGGCAGTGCTTTTGGCAAAGGTATTTAAAGAGTTCTAAAATTTTTACCAATTGAATCTTAATAATACCATTAGTGCATTCAACTAAACCTGAAGATTGAGGATGGTAAGCACAGTGAAAATGTAGGACTAGCCAAACAGCACAGACTTGCTTTAGCACCTGACCAGTGAAATGGGTTCCTCCAGTTTGAGAGGAGTTCCCCAAGTAGGAATAATCTTCTCTTAATAGTTGGTTAGCTACTGTAGATGCATTAGCTTGTCTATAAGGGAAAGCTTCAGTCCAGTGAGAACACATAGATATCATGACTAAAACATATTTGTATCTGTGAGATGGGAGAAGCTGTATGAAATCTATTTGCCAGACCTCAAATGGCCCATTTGGCAACTTAAAATGTCCAGGGGCAGTGTGAACAGGTATCCCTGGGTTATACTTTCAACACATGGGACACCTAGGGTAGGCACTGTTTGCAGCCTTGTTAATATCTCCCCACCAATATTGGTTCATGAATGCTACCATTTTGTCAGTGGACCAATGGTTTAATGCATGCACAGTAGTTAGGAGTGGGAATTTTAGAGTTTCTGGTAGGATGGGGTTGTTATTTGGTCCAAACCAGAGTTTCTTCTCCTTATCAAACCAACAATTGTTGGATTTCCAATCTTGTTTTTCTTCTTCAGAAGCTGATTGCTGGGCTTCTCTGGCCAGATTTTATAAGTTATCAACTCGAGAAGCTCTTCTTTGGACCATGATGGGTTTGACTGCTGCTGATGCCTTTAAGGGCAGCATTTTTAGCAGAATTATTAGCCTGGTGATTTCCTTTAGCTTCCAAAGAATCAAGTTTAGAATGTCCTGGAATCTTAATAGCTAAAGCATCAGGGAAAAGCATAGCATCCAATAATTTCTGTATGTATGGACCATTTCTAATTTTTTTTTTTTAAAGATTTTATTGGGGAATTGGGGGAGGGAAACAGCATTAGGGAATCGGGGAAGGGGAACAGACAAGTTGCTGTCCTTTTGTTCTTCAGTCTAGTTGTGGAGGACATCGCTTCACTGGCCCATGTTGGTATTATCATTGCGCTCTTCCCAGGTGAGACAATCAGTCGCTGGCCACGGGAAAGCTGCTCACGGCAGCTCACACCGGCTGTTGGCCAGCCCCACTGCAGCCTATGCCATCGCCGGCAACTCATGGCATCCCAGCTCCAGGTCGAGTTGTTGTTCACCATCTTAGCTGTAGAGGGCGCAGCATCACTGGCCCTCATGTGGGATCTGAACCGGGGCCCTGCTGCTCAGAGCTGGCGTCCCAAAGCCAACTCCTAACCAATGCACCACTCGGCCGGCCCACCATTTTTAATTTGATCTCCATTGGAGGTCAGGAAACCACGTTTCCATAACATTCCAAAGTCATGAGCTACCCCAAAGGCTTATCTGCTGTCTGTATAAATGTTGACAGTTTTGCCCTTTGCTAAAATGCAAGCTCTAGTGAGGGCATATAAGTCAGCCTGCTGTGCTGAAGTGGCCAGAAACAAAGGTGCTGTCTTGATAACTTCAGAAGGGGCTACAACACATTAACCAGCACAGTACGTACCACTGTCAATTTTAAGTATAGGCCATCTGTAAACTAACGAGGACCAGCTTTACTTAGAGGAGTCTTCTATAAATCGTCCTGAGGAGTCAGGAGGTGATCTGTCCGTGTCAGGCAGTCATGAGGAGCTTCCTCAGCCTAAGAATGGAGAAAAGTAGCTGGATTAAGGTTATGACAATGTGAAAGGGTTATATGGGAAGTGGTTAACAAAAGGATTTCATAGGAACTTAGGGGACAGAAAGATGCTGGTGTGATGAGAATTCAGGTGAGCTTCTACCACATGAGGCACAAACATGGTTAGAGGGGATCCCACAACAATCTTCTCTGTGGCCTTAACCAGGAGGGCAGTAGCCACAATGGCTCTAAGGCGAAGGGGGGTTATCCCTGAGCCATAGGGTCCAGTTGTTGACTACAGTCTCCTAGGGGGTCTATGTGATCCCCATGTTTTTCAGTGAGCACCCCGAGGGCATGTTCTTCCTTTTTATGCACAGAAAGGAAATAGGGAATCTGATAGGATGCCCAAGAGAAGGTGGGTTATTCAACTCTCCTTTAAGATTTAAAAGCTGTCATCCTGTCCTTCCCATGAAATTGAGTCAGGACTGTCATTCCTTAATAGGACATACAGAGGTTTTTCCCTAAGAGAGAGATTTGGGGTCTAATTCTGGCAATAGCCAACTAGACCAATAAAACTTTGCAATTGGTGCATAGTTTTCTTAAAGTCCCAGTTCATTTTTACCACTCCAAACAGCCTGTGAGGGACCTGTTATAATCCCCAGTTTCTGCCCAGAGAAGTCACTGGGAGGTGGAGCTGAGATTAGGTGGTATGTTGCTGCTGTGTTCCCCTAACCCACTCCCCAGGCACAGTCGTACCACCAGACCTTTGCACTGGCTGTTCCCTCTCCTTGGTGCTCTTCCCCAGGTCTCCCCAGAACTTCTTACTCCCTTCAAACCACCTTCTCTGTGTGGCCTACTCGACAGCCCTTATTGAAAGGTGCAGCCACCTTTCCGACTCCAGCCATCATTTACTTATTATTCTGTATTTTCAACCCCTTGCAACCCCCTGAGGAGAGTTCTGTTTTCTTCACTGAGTCTTTCTCCAGACTCAGCATCTAAGGTGCTCAACACCATCACTGAAGGGTTCCCAGGACCCTTGAATTTGTCCTTTTGGGAGGAGTTGGCCCTGCTGTCCCTCTCCTCTGGAATTCAGCCCTCAGAAGAGCCACCCCCTTCTGTACTTGTCACCTGCCCTGCCTGGGCAAAGGACACTCCTGTAGAGCAGGGAGTTCTCTGCTCAAGTGCCCTCGGCTCAGCAGGGCCCCAGTGCCAGGGCGACCTAGCTTTTCATGACTCCATCATGACTGAGCCTCCTGAATGTATTTTTGGACTGAGCTCTGGGCTGGGTGTTTCTTGGTCAGTTTGTGCTGGCTCAGGGGCAAACATGCGAATTCAGCCACCTCAGCTCTGCCCAGGACGTGGTCCTGATCTCTGGCCGGCCCTGGAACGAGGAGCAAGGAGCCTTCCCTTTTAACAGATGCTCATTGAACACCTGCCTGGGCTCCAGGGAACTCAGCCCTCCTAAGGTGCTCACAGATGAGTGTTGGAGACTCAGTCAGTCATCAGTGATTGATTGCATAATTACACCTAAGGACCAGAGACATAAAACAAATTTCCTTCTACTAGAGTGATAATGGGTGGGACAGTCAGGAGGGTGGATGGAGCTGAACTTGGAGGAAAGTCAAAGATGTTCTGGGTAGAGAGCAGGGCATGTGTAAAGGTCCTGGGGTGGGTACTTTCTGGGTTCGAGGAGCAGAAAGCAGGCGAGAGGGAAGTGAGTGAGTGGAGAGGGTGGGAGATGAGGGGTGGAGGCTGGACCATGGGCCTGAGGAGGACTTTGTTGTTCATCTGTGGATGATGGGGAACCCCAAGAGGGTTTAAATGGGGTCAGCGGTGTGTCCCACTTGCCACAAGAAAAGCTTCTAATTGAGTGGTAGGCATGGAGGTGAGGGAACCAGAAGGGAGGCTGAGGTGGGTGGGCAAGCACTGGACAAAGGCTGGTCTGTGTGGCCCCGGCTGGTGCTAGGGGAGAACCATGTAGCTAATGAGCTTCTTTCCCCCAAACCCAGCCTCTCTGCCTTTCGCCATCCTGATGCTCGTCAATGCCCCATACAAACGAGGGTTCTACTGTGGCGATGACTCCATCCGATACCCCTACCGTCCAGACACCATCACCCACGGGCTCATGGCTGGCATCACCATCACCACCACCGTCATCCTTGTAAGGCGGGAGGGGCTTGGAGGGCGGGGGTCAAGGTCTGCCTTGAGTCGAATTTGTGGGGAAGAAGCCTCCTTTAGAGTTCCCCATTCCCCAGAAGTCACAGGGAAGCCAGGAACCCTAAACACCTTTCAGTGGAGGACTGAGCCCTTGAGCCCAGTGCCTAGTGGGCCCCACACAGTTGCTGTTGGGACCCAGTGGGAGGCTCCTTAGTGGCTCCCTTTGCAGGTGTCGGCAGGGGAGGCCTACCTGGTGTACACGACCCGTCTCTATTCCCGCTCCAACTTCAACAACTGTGTGGCAGCCATCTACAAGGTGCTGGGGACCTTCCTGTTTGGGGCCGCAGTGAGCCAGTCCCTGACAGACCTGGGCAAGTACATGATTGGCCGTCTGCGGCCCAACTTCCTGGCAGTATGTGACCCTGACTGGAGCCGCATCAACTGCTCCATCTATGTGCAGGAGGAGGTGTGCAGGGGGAGCCCTGCCAATGTCACTGAGTCCAGGTGGGTGCTGGACCAGCAGCCCTCTGGGCTCTGCTGGGGGCCAATCCATAGACACTCCCACTTCCAGGGGACAGTGCAGGCTGGGGAAGGGCCCTCAGCAACTGGATGTTGCAGGATAACTTGACAGGTGGAGCCAGGGTTGAGGATAGGGCAGGAGCAGACCGGCAGGTGCCTGTGGGCCTGAGTCCACAGACAGGGAGGCCAGGTGGGTGGTGCATGTTGGGCTGAGCAGAACAATCGGTGTTGGGAGTGGTGACCTACCTCCCCTAAACTTTAGGCCCTACCCTCATGCTTTTGGTCTGTCTTTTTACCATCTCTACTGATAAACTTTTCATTTAATTGGCTTCCTAATTTTCCTTTTTACAAAATTGAAATAAAATTTGCTAACTTAACCATTTAATGTGTACAATTCATTGATTTTTAGTAAATTCACAGTGTTGTGCAGCCATCTCCCCCATCTTAATCCACAATATTTTCATCACATGAAAGAGACTCTGTGTCTGTCTGCTGTCTCCCTCCCCCAGCCCCTTTCAACCACTAACCCACTTCCTGTCTGTGGATATGCCTGTTCTGGAAGTTTCACATAAATGGAATCACACACTGTGGTCTTTCTTGCCTGACTGCTTCAACATTTCAAAGTTCACCACCCACATTGTAGCTTCTGTTAGTTTTTGCTTCATGTATTCTGGGGCTCCATTGTTAGGTGTATATATCTTTGTAGTTACATGTTCTTGAAGGATTGGCCCTTTTATCACTATATAATGTCCTTTCTCCCTCCTAACATTTATTATCTTAATGTCTGTTTTGCCTGATAGTAGTATGGCCGTACTCGCTGTCTTTTGTATGGAATATTTTTTCCATTCTCGTACTTTGAACCTATTTGTGTCTTTGAATTTAAAGTGAGTCTCTAATGCACATCGATTTTTCCCTCTTTTTTTTTTTTTTTTTT